TCATGGCCTTAAGCAATCTAGCCATTTGTTCCTTGAGCTGTTCAAGCTCCTCATTGAGGACACGATTCTTTCCTCTAGGCCTTCCATAGCTTTTATCTTTTGAGCTCGTGTGAGTACGGGATGTTGAAAAGCCACCTTTAAGGGATAATATAATTTCCTATTAAGCTTATTTAAATGATAATTCATGAAGGAGGTCTCTCAACAAAGACTTGATAGCCACTCTTTTGAATGTGAAATCAAAGTGTCCCTTTTCGTAATTTTTTACGATGTAACAAAGGTCACACTAATTGGAGTTCATCAGTCTTTGTGAGAAATCTCCTTGTGATCCTAGGAATGTATGTGGTATGCATGTTCCTTATTTTTAATTTATTTTTTATTTTTTATTTTTTTATTTTTTTGGAAAATGCATGATGCCCCCATTTTAAAGAGGGGATGTATGATTCTCACAGATCTTATTTTCACACTAGGTTTTCTCTCACATGATAATGCATTTTTATTTTCTATTTTTTTGTGTTTTTTTTTCTTTACCTTAGGTGAATTATAAAAATTAAATGAGTGGTTTGAATAGACTAAATGCAACAAACATATGCTCATACAATCCACAAGCAGTCACGTATAAATCCATGGTCTGTGGTCTTGTTAAGAAAAGTGCATTGTATAGGGCGGTTCTAATTATCCTTACTTTGGTCTTAAGGTCCCCAAGGTTCCCCCATTATAGGGACCCAGTATCTCTATCGCCATCACCTGGCAAATTCTAAGGTCTGTTGCAGTATTTTGGGCTAGAGTAACCGGTTATCACCTTGAGTTTGATTTCCGACAAGGCTTGCAGGCTCCAAGGCCAAACTTGGGCCGGTCGTACGTCAACCACTCTCTATGTTTAATACCCTCATGCCCCCGGGTGTAGGGGGAACTGTTGTGTGCAAAGGTTTGTGTACAATTTTTTATTCCAAACATGTGCGGAATTTAAATAAACAAACAGATATCAAAGTCAAACAAAGAAAACAAACAAGGTAAAGGGGAAAGATATTTAAATTATAATTCTTATCACATTAACTTCATCATTTATTTAGGCCTGACCCTCTTAAAACTTCCCTAGAAGAGTCGCCATCAGTCGCAACTCGAAAATTTCTGATCTCGCGACCTATGGTTTAGACATCCTTTTAAAAATCTCATTAGTTAAGGAATGCCCGGACACCAGACTAATCCTTAATTAATTGTTTTGAAAACAGGTTCATGGAGTCGCCACCAATATTTTACTCAAAACATTGGAAAAAGAAAAGATTTTTTAAAGATCCAACAATGGCCTTGATAACCAAAATTGGGTTCGGGGGTCGGTTACGTATAGGGAAGGTAGAAGGTATTAAGCACCCCTACAGTGCCCTTAATCGGTACCCTATGATGAAGTTAGCATGATAAGAATTAATAAATTAAATATTGAATCCCCTTTATTAATATTTATTTAATTTAAAATATAAATTAAGCGATTAACTCTAAAATATCTACATTATGAAGTTTGTTATAACAAAAAGAAAGATAAAGATGAGAAATAAAAGGGAGAGAAGAAGATTCACTAAAATACCTCTTGAACGAGCTTTATTGAATCTTCAAATATGGAGAAGATGCTTTGTGGTGACCTTTCACACTATAGTATGCCTCACAGATCTCAAGAAAATACAATATGAGGGAGAGAGAAAATAGAGATGCGACACAAATCTCAAGAAATATAATAGAAGGGAGAAAGATAGAGAATTTTCATGCTCAAAGGAGTCTTATTCGAAATTTCTTTGACCGCCCTAAGAACTGTGCCTCAGGCCTCTATTTATAGGAATCAGAAGGGGCCAGAATGGCCCGTTCCAGATTCGAAACGGCCAGTTCTAGACCAATCGTTATGTGCAAATTACTCACCCTGGAACGGCCCGTTCTGGAATCAGAATGGTCCGTTCCAAAGTGGAAATTAACACAGAGTTCTCCTTTCCAGAATGGCCGGTTCCAAATTTGACTTGTTTGGAATGGCCCGTTCTGGTATTGGGACGGTCCATTCCAGCCGAAGACTTTTTAAGTGTTTTAGTCACGTTGGTATGGCCCGTTCTGATATTGGAATGACCCGTTTCGGGGTTCAGAACGGCCCGTTCCAATTTTGGAACAGCCCGTTTAGGGCTACTAAAACTACCTTATTTGGCCTTTAGGCCTTCTAATGTCCTGTCTTGTTGTTTGCCTGCTTCGGGAGCTCCCTCCCTTCATAACGAAGGTCCATTTCCTTTTTTGTGTTCCCCCGGACGAAATTGGGTGTCTACAAGTATTATCACCACTTCTGGTTTGTCGAGTATTGTCGACCACTTCTATCCCTCCAACTTCACTCGTCAGCGCTAGTATTCTTTGTTCAGCCTCTTCAGGCTCTCAATGACGATTACCGACCACTCTATTAATTAAGGATTAGTCTGGTGTCCGGGCATTCCTTAATTGATGAGACTTTTTAACAGGATGTCTAAACCATAGGTCGCAAGATCAGAAATTTTCGGGTTGCGACAAGGCTTTACAAATGATAAATAATTTGTTTTGAGTGTGTGGTTTACTCTCACAAAGAGGATATAAAGATTTACTACACTCACTAAGGTTTATGTTCATAAGTTACACTTAGAACTCCTTAGTCTACAAAGATAAATACAATATTGTACATTTGACTATGTATGCTCTGTCTCTGATTTCGTTGCTTTTTGGGCTTTCACCAACCATTCTAGGTTTGAAGTCATGACATATTTATAGCCTCTGTAAAATCTGTCTGTTGCAAGTGTCCGTTGAAGCAGAATGTAGTCGTTCATGACTAGTTCGATTTCTCATTTAATGCACTTGATTTTGCATTAAATGTTTCTTCCTGTTTATAGACATTGCGTGAAGTCTTCTACATTTTTGTTAGCTGCAGTGACTGACTTTAACTGTGACCTAGGAATTTCTTATCCTTTTTTGGTCATCGTAGCTGCAGAGGCGTTGTCTTTATCTGAAAAGGTAATGTACTTTTTCTAACACACGCATGCTTTGACTTGTGGATATAGAATTTTCTATCTTTCTTCTTTCTTATCACAATTTAGATGACTTCGTGTGCTTTTCTATGAGTGTAGACGATGCCTGAATTGTCCCTTGAGACTTGATTCTTCAAATGCTTGCATGACAGTCTTCGTCTGTGTCTGGTAGTCCATGCGCATCTCAGGACTCGATCTTCGTCTGAGCATTTGTCATCAATGCTTTGACTTCCTTTGGTCTGGTCAACATTGTAGATGGTCAGACTTCATTTCCATCTGGAATGCTTTTCAGTCTGTGTTGTCCTTCGTCTGATATGTAGTTGACTTTCGTATGATTCTTGACCAGCCTTCGTCTGAATCCTTATGTTGCCCTTTAGGTTGTGCTTGACACACCTACATTTGGTATTTGATCCAACATCGTTTGGTGCTCATGTCGTATTTCATCTTGCATTTGACTTTGCTTCATCTAATCCTCGTGTTGTGCTTTGCCTTGACAGATCTTCATTTGTGGTCTGTATGGACTTATTCTCGTTCTTGAATGTGCTTCGTCTGAAGCTTGATCATTTTCCAACTTTTGCTAGACTTGGCTTCATTTGACCTTTCCATCTGATGCTTGAAGCTTTCCTTCCTTTATCTTGGTTCTAGTATAAGAAGTAGCACATGCTTTGTTCTTCAACTTGCCTATACTTATGTTTTTCTAAAACACTAACACACATATTAGAAATAACAATATGTATTATACTTGACTGATTCAAAACTTTGCTGGAAATTGCTTCGTCTGACTTAACATATTACTTAGCTATTATAAGTCCAAATAATTAAAGTTCAAATAAAATCAAATTCATCTATAAAAGTTTAAATAAAATTAAATTCATAAAAGTTTAAATAAATTAAATATTAACGAGTATAGGTATTTGCGAATACGAATACTATGATACCTATACCCTACTTGTTAACATGCAAGTATAAAAAAGATTCATACTCGTTATACACGAGTATCCATTTACAATATTCATTTTCAATCTGTTGCGAATTTTATACGAATACCCATGAATACAAATTTTTTTAACATTCTTATTTTATAGTGTGCATGTACTGTGATAATTTAGAAACATAATAAGCAACATTGAGTCGGGTCTAGGAGAGATATTAAAGTGAGCCAATAAGTTGATGATTCTCTTGTGCATCACATGAATGTGTGTCACCATAAGCAGCAAGATCATTCAAGGTAAACATAGGTGTTGAGACTGATTTAGAATCTTGCATATTAAATTTTTTAACAATGTCATAAATGTAATTGTCTTGTGTGAGGAAGAGGCCATTTGGGCTGGGAACCATCTCAATACCAAGAAAATGACTAGGAGAGCTAAGACCTTTGAGAAAGAATTTGTCTGCTAGAAAGTACTTGAATGAAATGAAAATTTTCAAATCATTACTTGTAAGTAAAGGTCACCAACATAAATAAAGGTGTATGTTGTGACTCAGCCACTATTGTAAATGAACAATAATATGACAGACCTTGAATTTGTGAACTCAACACTCAAGATAAATTTTTTAAATGCATGAAACCAAGCTCGAGGTGTTTGGTAGGGGCTGTAGAACATTTTGCAAAGCTTGTTGACATGATCAAGGAATTAAGGATCAATGAAAATTATTTGATATTTTATTATATAAATTTCAATTAAAGTGTATAAATAAAAATATATTATACATTAATTTGAATCTATATAACAAAGTACGTACGTCTACTTTTCAAATTTTGTAAAATTTGCATGCATGATCTACTCATTTCAATTTATTAATTTAATGGTTGAATTATTGAAATTTAATATAAACATGAGTTATTGTATGATGTGTTTTTATGATTTTATATTTTGCTGATTTAGATTCCGGTTGCTATAATACCATTTCAATACCGAAGAGTGTAGGAAATTTAAATTCGTGTTGTATAGCCTTAAAAAAAAATTTAAGTTATGTGGAATCTTTTTTCTAGCATGCCTTTTTTTTATCAAACCAAATTTAAATACTTCATGTGTTTACTTACACATCATTAGGTTTAACATAGGTAATGGATATACGACGACCAAAGCAATGAAAAGAAAACAAGAATGAAAACAAAGAAGTGACGGTCTTAAATGATAGCATACTTCTAGGTTGCATACTAGTCTTTGAGGGACAACGACAATTATCATTTAGCAAGCATAACACAAAGGGAATGGCACAAGTCTTGGTTTTGGGAGACAAATCAGGGGTTCAGCCCTTGAAAGAATAAATGAAGGTCCCTCTTTCATATCAATGCTACCACAATTCCCTCCATTTTCTTCTTCTTCACCCTTCCATTCAAAGCATTGGATCATAGCAGCAAGGGTGGTGTGAGCAACCTTTAGTGCTAGTGAAGTTCCAGGACACCCTCTTCTTCCACTCCCAAAAGGCAAAAACTGATAATGTTGTCCCCTCACATCAACTTGACCTATTATTTTTCCTGTCTCATCATCTTTGCTAAGAAACCTTTCAGGCCTAAACTCAAGAGGGTTATCCCAATGCTTTGGATCCCTTCCAATGGCCCACACATTGGTGAAAACCTGAGTCTTTGCTGGAATGTCATATCCAACAATGATGCAATCTTTAGTTGACTCTCTCAATACAAATGGCGATGGAGGGTGAAGCCTCAGTGTCTCCTTCACTATGGCTTGGAGATAAGGAAGGTTTTCTATGTCCAATTCCGTTACTATTCTGTCTTTGCCAATTATGGAGTCAATTTCCTTCCTTGCTTTCTCCATCACTGTTGGATGGTTAATTAGTTCTGCCAGTGACCATTCTAGAGTAACTGCCGTTGTATCTGTCCCTCCTGTGAACATATCCTGAGGAATTATGAAGACAATTTGTTACATAGAGCCATTATTAATCACTCAAATTTATGAACTGCAAAAAAGTGAAAACAATGGGACGGATCTACTTGCTAAATTGCCCCACTATCATTTTAGACATAAATATTTTTTTATAAAAAAAATAATATATTTTAAAAGGTAAAAGTTATATTCTAATAAAATTAATATATATGTTTAAATTATTGTATGTATAAAATTTAAGTATGAAGGAAATGTCTATTTATTTGATGTCTATTAACCTTTTGAAAGATATCAATTCTCATGAAAAATATTTCTTAATAACAAACTAATTTTTTTTAAAGTTTAATTATACTATATATCTATATATATATATATATATTAATGCTCACATATATAATGTAATATATTAAAAAAATTAATTTTTGATAAAATAAAATTTATAGCATGCATATTTATCTTTTGTACTTTTATTTATTGTATACAGTGATTAAAAAAATCAAAATAGTAAAAGTTGTAAGATTATTTTCTATTTAGAATTTTTATTATAAAATATTTTTTAAATAAATTATCATCTAAAAGTTTATATTAGATATTAAAAACATGTTTATATCATAAATAAATTAAACTTAATTTTTATAAAATTTAACATATTTATTTTTATATTTTTATTAGTGTTAAATTAGTATAAAATATGTTTTTAAGATTGTAGTATAACTTAGGACATATATTTTTAATCAAAATTAGATTTATATCTATTAAATTATAGTATAACTTAGTCTGATATAATTTATTTTTATTTCTTGTTATAATTGTATATATAAAAATTTATAAAAAATAATTATGATATATATTTATAATTTTAAAATTATATACAAAATTTTAGTACTATAAATTATATAAATAAATATTACTTTTATTATCTAAAGTTTCTATATCCGTGAGTGTTACATGAGCATAGTCATATTTCATAATTCCATGCGTGACTTGATGCACAAATACTGGTAAGTTTAGTTGCTCAGTTGATGCACAAATACATAGTCAACGAGCCGGACACTCACACTCTTGATTTGGTTAGCATATATTATACAGCTTGCTGATGAATAAGGCATTTTTTTACTATTGACTTTAAAAACTATTTTTCTATATAAAATAAGTTTCAATTTTATTAAACAGATATTAGTTTTCTAACGTGGCTTCAGGTTTAATTACATTGTGCACAATACATATATATTATAATACCTACTTTTATACATATATAAGCTGTTGGTATAATTTTTTAAGTATCTTAGTCCATTGATAAATAATTTATTTTTTTAATAATTATACCAATACTTTTTATTATATAGGTGTCCAATATTCTCATTATTTCCTTTTTCTCTCTTACGTATCAGCTCCGTCTCAGTCTCGCCCATCTTCTATTTGTTTTAACTTTCTATTTTGTTAATAATTCATTATTTTTTTTCATATATATCCACATCAATCATTATCGTATTCCTACTAATTTATTTGAAGTATTATATGAATATTTGAAGTGATTAAGTGGGTAGACTTAAAGTAATTTATCAATATTTTTCAATCGATATGTGAATCGTTTTAAATTATATTTAGATTTAAAAATATTGAAAGAAGTATTAATAAAAAATTTGATACTCTATTAGAACTAATAAATTATATCAAAATATTGTATTAATTTATAAATAATGCGTTACATATAAAATATTATTTCGAATCTTGTATTGTCAAAAGTAGTTTTCAATAAAATAAAATTATTTAAATTGTATTCAAGATCAATTACGTCTTTAATAGCATTTGATGAATTAGTCATAACTTTGGGAAATGTTATTACTTAAATATAAAAAGAAATCATTTGAAGTTCAAAATATTAAATATTTAATTAAAAGCCTACATTTTTCCTTAGGACTCCAAACTTCTAAATATGACCATGCATATTTACCTATATTGTTTGTTATATCATGTTCTAGTTGGATTGTTACCTAATTACTTTGGCGTTTATGTAATATTTGCAAGAGGATTATTGTGCAAACCTTTTATTTTAGTTGTCTTTGATATTGTAATCACAAACTATTTTAGTTTTTCACTCTACAAAACCCTTATGTCAATATTCTGGATTTTGCAAAATGTGTCACTCACCGTGGTCAGTTAATAACGTTTTATTTTATAAAAAACTATAACATAATCACATTTTATATATAAAATCAATGAGACTGAATTTAGAATTTAATCGAGAGAAGAACTCACAATAATTAACTAGTTATTAATTCGAATAGAATTACACTCAATCTTAAAGTAAAATTTTCTATTCGAATCTTATAAATATGTGAATAGGAAAAAGCATTATTGAAAAGAAACGTTTTTACCAAAGATGATGAGTCAGACTTATTGGTAATGATCATTCAAACAAAAACTAAATATATTTAGCAACAATATTATAGTTAAAAGTTGATAAATATTACCACCAAGAAGGCTTTGATGTTGTCTCTGGTTATTTTCACCTCTGAGCTTTGATCTTCAGAAATACTCAAAAGAGCATCAAGAACATCTTTTGCCACACTCGATTTATCTCTCGAATCTTCATGCTCCCTAATGATAATCTCCATCATGGTGTCAAACCTGCCACGAACCTCCTTTAGCCTCTTCCCAATTCCCTGAAGATCCAACCCCTTACAGAACCAAAAATAATCTGCTAGGTTAAACCTTCCACTCAACACGGCACACTCCTTCACCCTTTCCACCACCTTGTGAGCCTCATCATCAGTGTTTAAACAGCTCTTGCTTACGGCCATTCTCATCACTATGCTGTTCGTCAACTTCAAAAGCTCCTCTCCAACATTCACACCCTGGCACACTTCACCTTTCTTCTTTATCATCGCCACAAACCTTTTTTTTATTATATTTTTTATAAGACAAATGAATATATTAATGAAATATGGAATGCAAGGTACCTGCTGATGGGTCATTTTGTAAAGATATATTTGTCAAGAAATGTATTATGACTTTTTTTATTTGTTAGGATATTTCAAAATATTTGCACATATATCTTTATAATAATAAGATATTATTTACTTTAAATCTAAATTATCATAATTTTACTTTTAATTATCATTTAAAAGATTTTGAATCAATAAAATTTGTACTTCATAAATCTTTATTTCTTCTTCTATTGATGTAAGACTTAATTTATATCGTATTAGTATCCAATTCAACTACATCAATAGATAATTAATAACATGAGAGAAGTACTTAATTGTAACTCTATTACATACAACAAGTCTCCAAGCTTCTTTGCTGTCTCAAAAGAAAACGTTATCCTAAAGCTTCTATATGATAATGGGTTTGAAAAGCCACAAACCTGTTTATCTCTTCTTGCCTGATGGGTAGGAGTTGATCCAGCATCCTCCCATTGAGAAGCTCTGACATGCAAAGCTTCTTCATGAACTTCCAGAAGGTTCCATAAGGGGAAAACCCTAGATCGGATGAGTCATAAGTGAGGTAGCTTATGGCAGCATTTGCTGGTCGGTTGGAGAAGGAAAGTTCGTGGGTTTTGAAGATCTCTTTGGCTGTTTCTGCTGAGGAAACAACTACAATGGGAGTGGAGCCGAGGTAGAGATGAATCAAGGGTCCATAGCGATTTGAGAGCTTCTGGAAAGATCTGTGAAGGGGTGGTTTTAGCAAGTAGAAGTGTCCAATCACTGGTAAGGCCAATGGACTAGGTGGAAGGTGGTATTTTGAAGCTTTGAATACGGCTCGGAGCAATATTGTTGAAGCTATGCAAACAAGGAATATTTGTATGTATCCTTGAATATCGTCCATTGTGTTGCTATATTTTGAATGCAGGGTGTAAGCTTCAAAAGGTTTATTTATAGATTGTATTTCCTCTAATTGATGTAAGGAAATATATATGGATATATAAATCTATTTGACATATAATTATATATAATTTTAATATTAATTTTAAATGTGATAAAAATATTTATATTATATAAATAAATATTTTTTAATAATAAATATTATATCATTATAAGATATATGTTATTATATAATATTTTATTATGTTTTTTCAGTACATTTGTTGATATTGATGTACATTGCTTGGTTAGAGACGGCATTATGTCATGGGAAGTTTGTTTTAGGGTTCAGACAAATCAACACTACTTCGCACCTCTTGTCTTTTGTGAGTGTACTATGAAGAATTGGAGATGCTTGTGGTGTGACATATAACGCCGGAAGGAATAATCTCCAAAACTAACAATTCTTTAGTGTAAAATATTTATATACAAACATTTAATGAGATATGACCACTTTAATTATTATATTATTCTATTTATTATTAATATAAGTGACACTGAAGTAAATTTTTGTTTAGTTTTTGTACCTATTAATATAAAAACAATACAGTTTAATAACCACCTCTTTAATTTCTATTTTTTAATTAGACGTTTTTAAACAGGTCCACGTACCCTCGAGTGTGAACACGCTTTCCTGCAAAACTGACTAGAGGTTCTGTATGAGGTTGGATAAGGGAGTGAGGGATGTCTAACCTGAGGAACGTCGGCCAGTATAGGACATCAGCCGAGCTCCCTTGGTCAATCAACGTCTTGTGCACCTCCCAATTAGCAACCTCCACGACGATGACCATTGGATCATCCTGGTTGGGGCAGATGCCGGTGTAGTCGTCGTCGGTGAAAGTTATCGGTGGTGTGCTTTGGTGCGAGGCTGAGGTAGTGGAGTGCACATTGTTGATGCTGCGCAAATGTCATTTTCGGCCGAGCTGCTAGAGCCTTCCCCTGCGAAACCACCTGCAATTGTGTTGATGACGCCCCGCAAAGGGGCTGACCCTGTTTCCTGGCTTACCTCAGCCTCCACTACGCCACCAGTGTTTTGTTGGGATCTAGAGGGTTGGTCTATGTGGGTGCCTGCACCGAGACCTCGCCCTCGCCCTCGCCCGTTGCAACCTCCTCGGTGACCTTGCTGCCGCTATACGTATTGCCCGAGGTGTCCCACCTGGACGAGCTCCTCTATACGATCCCGGAGTGTAAAACATTCCTCGGTGGTGTGACCGTGGTTTCTGTGGTACCGGCAGTGCTTTGTCCTGTCCGCGTTGTTGGGACTGTGCCCGAGTGGTGGTAGAGTGAGCAAGTTGTTGTTGTTGGCTTCCTCCAGGATGCGTACTCGGGGTGCACTCAGGGGGGTGTAAAAGTCGTATCTCCCCCCTTTGTTTGCCCTGGCAGACTTCTTGAACTGATTGTCATTGTTGACCTTCGTCTTGTCCTTGTGACCATGGTCTGGCTTTGCCTGTGACTTGCCGCGAATCTGGTCATGAAAAGCTGAGTGCTCTTCCATCTGGATGAACCCAGCAGTACGGGCACGGAGTTCGTCCATGTCACGGGGAGCTTCATGACACAGGTTGTCTACAAAAGGTCCAGGCTTGAGAGCGATGAGCATGGCATGTAGGGCGAATTCGGGATTCAAATTTCGAATCTTGACCGAGATGCTGGCGAAGCGTTCCATGAATGTCTTCAGGGACTCATCGTCGCCCTGCCTGAGACTGGCCAAGGCGGCCGATGTGACATGGTGAGGTTGACTCGTGGCATATTGAGCCGTGAATTGCTTTACCAGAGTGTTGAAGTTGTCGATCGACTCAGCCGGTAATTAGGTGTACCAATTGAGTGCGACCCCCTTGAGCGAGGTCAAAAAAAATCTACACAGAATAGCATCCTCATTAGTGTAAAGGTTCACCTGTGTAGTATACAGGTCGATGTGCTCGTCCGGATCCGTCGTGCCATCATAGCGGTCGATGTGGAGGGGCTTCCAACTGAAAGGGAGAGACGTCTCCATGATGCCGTTCACAAAAGGATGGCGACGAAAGCTCGTCCAATTCCCAAGGGCCTGGGCAGGGGCGATGCTAACTTCGTGGGCCGACTTGTTCGTCAGTGCGGGTGACCAATGTGTGGCAGGCCTAGGAGTTGGTGCCCTAGGTGCAGTCGGTGGTTGAGAAACCGAGTGCCCCTCTTCCTCGTATTGGTTACTCGGTTGAGGGGGTTGATCAGAGGGGCTCCGAGGAAGCTGGGCGCGAATACGCTCATTCTCGGTGCG